AATACCTTCCTATATATATATATATATATATATATATATATATATATACACCGGTATATCAAATAGTATAACACAGATTCTATCTTACCTGTCATTTTTTGGATGATATCCACAGAAAGAAACATTTTTCAAAGAGAAAAAATGATCATGTTGTTTTTTACTTCCTTTCCCGAGTAGCTTGCCCATTTTTTTTCGTGTCTTAATTTCTCTGTCCACGTATGTAAATTTGCTTCACAAACTCATCATTTAGTATCGAGCACTCTCACCTGGAATAATCGACTACCTTCCTATATATATATATATATATATACACCAGTATATCAAATAGTATAACACAGATTCTATCTTACCTGTCATTTTTTGGATGATATCCACAGAAAGAAACATTTTTCAAAGAGAAAAAATGATCATGTTGTTTTTTACTTCCTTTCCCGAGTAGCTTGCCCATTTTTTTTCTAACAGAATCTTTTTTCTGAAAATAAAAAAAAAAAAAATGCTGATAAAAATAAAGTGTTCTGCTGAGCACAATGTAGAGATATTCTAGATAAAGAAATGTATGGCTGTGAAAGGATGATGATGTAATAAGTTGGAAATATCAGATGACATCACAAAAATAAGTGATTTAAAAGAAAATGCATCAAAACATGCATTTAAGTGGTCTACCCAAAATGTTTCACAAACATAAGTGGTCAACAAGAACGTTTCACAAACATAAGTGGTCAACAAGAACATTTCACTAACATAAGTGGTCTACCAGGAATGTTTCACAAACATAAGTGGTCTACAATAAAATTCTGCCATTTACTCTGTACATTGTTCTGCACATGGTCAACACATGTATTCACAAATATATAACTACTACAACAATAATAAATGCATTAAACTACTGTGCATGTATATGATTTAGCAATAATTATGAAGATTAATAAAAGTGAGAAACCTGAGGTGACAAACACGGAAATATCTAGGAAAAAGACTTACTTCAGAGTCAGAGTTTTCCTCCTCACCTCCAGACTAAGAGGAAAGTGGAAAAAAAGGATAAGATCAGAGAAAGAGAGAATCATGCATTCACCCGAAGTTAAAGACGATTCAGTGTCTAGCTACACCACTACAAAACACATGCGCATAAGTGTTCCATTTGAAGCACGAGAACAGCATACTATGTATGCCACATGCCACACATTTCATTAAATCACACCAGAATTCAATCACATAAACAGAGTTTCAATTCCTCTCATTTCATCAACATACAGTGTCCAATGATGAATAACACTGAGAAGTTTCCCATAATACCATCCATCAGAGGTCAGGTCTGTTATGTGTCCGTTTCTTATATGCTTGTTTCAGAAACGGAAAGTCCAATCAGTTTTTAAAAGAACTGACAGGAAGAAAACCACTCACTGTACTGATGAGGATACCAGTCTCCTTTAACATGCAAAGTTGACATTTATTTGACATTTAACACTCCCAGTCAATATAAGAATATATTGTTTTAAAAAAAGTTGAGACCACCAGTTTTTTTTCGAGAGAGAATGATTATTGTATTCTAGTGAATCATGGCTATTTTGGCAGCATTAAAACCCTATGGCAGAGTTCCTAAGGCAGAAATGTATACCATATCTAAAATTATAGACTGGTGATATCAGGTGAAAAATGTAAATAAGTTATTGTGACTGATGAGTTATCTTGAATTATTTAAATAATCTGAGTTTTAAAACATAACAAGACTATTTTTCTATATCATTGTGTTCGATGAAATTGTTCTAAAAATAGCAATTTTTGAGAGAATTTAGGATTTTGTTTCTTCAAAATATGGTACTGTAACACACATAAGTATGAGTAGGTTTCTACATTAAGAAAAATTGTGCACACAAAACAGACACAGCCGATCTGAGAGGGCAGCATTGTATAAAAACTAATAAACAGCATATTTTATGGAAAAATTTATACCGGTACTATTTATATTTCATCAGTGAGCAGTCAGTCAAGTCAATGAAATCCAAATAAGGCTTTCTGATGTGATACAAACATCTTAACCACTGTACCATAGCAAGGTCACATAACACCCGATCCATCAACAAACAGACACAGACCATTATCCTCGAAGAAAACTGATAAATTATGTTTTATATTTAACAAACCTTCACTATTTTAGGTTTTGATTGATCAGTCATTTTAATTCCTCGGTTACTTATCTCCATTAAGCAAAGTGTAGGGGGACTACTTGCAATAGTCATTCTCCTCGCTGTCACTATCTGTAATATTACATAAAAAAACAATATACAATAGTGCAGGGATAGTGTATGATAATTATACAATAAACTGATCCAATATACCACTTTTGTAATCTAGCAATAAACGGAGCGTTTGTGTCATGAATGAAAGGTTAACTCTTGTCATATTATGCATAATAATTTTTTATCAGGCAATGTAAAATTACATCTATCTCTTCCAAAATTACGAAGAAATTCAAGAAATTTTGAATTTTGAAAATTTTAACAAGATTCAAC